CTTCTGTCTTTCAGTGGCCTCATTTGTAGCTTCTTGGGATTTGAAAACCTTTAAAACAATACACTCGTTAAAATTTCAGTGGATATCTGAGGTCTGTCATCTTATTTCTTTCCATTTTGCCCAAATGTTGGGGGCTGCTTGAGAGACAAAGGCCATATTTAAGAATAGTTTGCCTTCCCGCGAGACTGAGTCTGATCTAGTGTGAGCTTTCAGGGTCTCCGTCAGTCTGGCCATAAACTGCGCTGGGTTTTCTCGATAAACCTCTCTGAGCGTTTTCTTCTTGTTGTTGTGTGCCATTGAGTCATAACCAACAGATAGCTGACCATCCAGCAGGTTTTCAGAGGCAGTAATTGCACAGGAAGAGATTACCCAGCAGAGCAGCTGGTGGATTCAAACCAGGATTGCAGTGCAGATTCTTAGACAGACCTGTCTGAGCTTATCAAAGTAAATTATCCTGAGGGATGCTCAGATCAGGCCTCTCAAAAATGTACCCAATAAAATAGGTTCATTTTCTCCAGTGAGTGTATTTCGGTCAGTCCTTCAATGGGAACCAACTGCACTTTCTCTGAGCTTGGGTTTGATCAGTGTGCCATACTCTGTCTCCCTCTTCAGGAATTAAACAGATTGTAAGAATAGTATGAATATCATGCCAGTTTAAGTCACATGATTTAACTAAATACCAAAATTATTTTATGAACTGTGTAGGATTGGTAGAAAATGAGCCCAGGTGTTTTTTCTCTCTGTGATAGATCAGTGAGTAAAAATGGGAGTTGAATGCTAGTGACTTCGTTCACAAAAATGACTTCGTAAAAGGTAGAGTCTGGAGAAGATGAATCTGCTGTTCTATCTCTGGGCACCAGAGCAGGTTCAGGGAAGGGAAGTCACAGGTGGCGAGGGTGGAATGTCTTCTGAGGGAGTGGGTTCAGCTTCTGTGACTGAAGCACCAGAATCAGGTTCTGGGTATGGGGCAATGAGAGAGGTTTGAGTGAGAGAGGTTTGAATTTCACTGACTCTATGGTGAGAGCAGATTCAGAGTCTGCATGGGTGCTCAGACAGGTCAGCTTAGAAAGGGTATAGGGTGATGGGGGTTTGAAGTATGCTTGAGGATATGGTAGACTAAACAGGAAGTGCAAGAAAGGGGTAACTACAGAAAGAAAAGAAAGCCTAGACATGGAGAACCTCTGGCCACTTACCAGGGCTCTGTCTAAGGGTGTGTAGGTAATGGTTGTTGTGGATCATCAAGACGGAACCAATTCATAGCTAACCCTCCAGCAGGTTTTCAGAGGCAGTTAATTGCACAGGAGGATATTACACATCTTTCCTGTGGAACAGGTAGTGGATTCGAACCACATACGTTTGGGTTGGCAGTGAAATGTTGAAATTGGTATTTTCAACAATTGATTCAATTATTGAAAGTGCTATTTTCAAGCCACTGTGAATTATTTTCTAATTTGTACTGCTGCTAAGAAGCATTACCAAAAAATATTCATTTCTTTGGTTTAATATAATTTTGGAGGTGTAATTTGCAAAGATTAGTTAAAAGGCAGCCAAAGGGAGTATCTAAGAGAGGGAGTAGATAATCAGACACTCTAAGCCTTATTTAGAGGAGCATCCCACAAGGCTTGAGACAGGGGCAAGTGGATGTGACAAATTTAAGATGTTGTTGTTATTAGGTGCCATTAAGTCAAGCAAGTCAACTCATAGCGACTCTATGAACAAAAGATCTGAACCTAGTCCTGTCCTGCCCCATCCTCACACTTCCTGACACAGAAGAGCCCATTGCAGCAGTCATCTTATCAATCCACCTAGCTGAGGGTCTTCCTCTCCTTTGCTGACCCTCCACCGTTCCCTACATCATGTCCCTCTCCAAGGAATAGCACTTGCTAGCAATATGTCCAAAGTAAGTGTGGCAAAGTCTCATTATTCTTGCCTCCAAAGAGCACTCCAGCTGCACCCTCTCCAAGACATATCTATTCTATTCTTGGCCGTTTGTGGGATGTTCAGTGCTCTTCTCCAACACCACAGCTCAAATGCATCTGTTCTTTTTCTGTCATCCTTATTCATTGTCCAGGTTTCGGATGCATAGCTCATAATCAGGAAGACCAGGCCTGAGTCAGACACACCTTAGTCTTCGAATTGACATCACTACTCCTCAACAGTTTAGAAAGGTCCCTAACTGCAGATTTTCCCATTGCACTGTGTCTCCGTATTTCCTGACTGCTCATACCAAGGGTGTTAATTGTGGATTCAAGTAAGATGAAGCTGTTAACAGTTTCAATCTCCTCTCCATTCATCATGACACTGTCTATTGGTCCAGTGGTAAGAATCTTTGTTGTTTTTTTTTTATATTGAGTTGCAGTCTATATTGAAGGCTACATTCCTTGATCTTCTGCAACAAGTGCTTCAAATACTCCTCACTTTCAGCAAGTAAGGTTGTATCATCTGCACACCGCAGGTTATTGATGAGTCTCCCTCCAATCTTGATGCCACATTCTTCTTCATAGAATCCAGCTTCTTGGATAATTTGCTCAGTATATACATTGAACAAGTATGGAGATAGAATACACGCCTGACGCACTCCTTTCCCAATTCCAAACCATGCATTCCTCCCCTGCTCCATTCACACAACAGCCTCCTGCTCCAGGTATAGGTTCCTCATTAATACAGTCAAGTCCTGTGGCATTTCAATTCTTCTCCATGTCAGCCACAACTTGTCATGATCCGGACAGTCAAACACCTTTGCATAGTCAATAAAGCACAAATAGACATTCTTCTGGTATTCCTTACTTTCAGCCAGGATCCATTGGACATAAGTAATGATATCCCTGGTGCCACAGCCTCTTCTAAATCCCACTTGAACTTCTGGCCATTTCCTATCTTTGTATTGTTTTAGCCATTTTTGAAAGATCCTCAGCAGTATTTTCTTGTTAAGTACTATCAATGATATTGTTTGATAATTTCCACATTCAGTTAGATCATCTTTCTTGGGAATAGGAACAAATAATTTAAGATGTTGTTGTTGATCGCCTTCAAGTCGAGTACAACTCATAACAACCCTATGAAACAACTGCCAGAAGCTCCTCTACAACTATTTACATTTATCAAAGTTCATAGTTTCCGGAGGCATGTTGTTTAGGAAGTGGATGCTACTTCTGCTTCCAAAATCCCTGAATTCAGAAACCTGTGTAGCCAACAAGCTGACTTGGTGACCATCAGACACCCAACACTGGGATTAATGAGTAATAGGCAGTAAGGCTCACAGAAGGATGGGGGTGCCAAAGAATGCAGTGTACTCTGTAGCCTGAAATAATATGATTTTTAAATCTCTATGAATAGAAACAGAACAACTTTTTATATAGTGCAATGAGATGAGGTCTTCAGGTTGGTCTTCAGGTTTAAAATAATACTGGAAAGAGTTGCCTCCTCCAAACAGTCTGTCTTAATGATGCAGGTAAAGCTTACAGCCAATACAGGGCCTTCATTTGCTGATAGGACATAACTCAGAAAGAAGACAAAACAGCTATAATCATTAACTAGTAATGTGGAATGTACGAAGTATGAACCTAAGAAAATTGGAACTTGTCAAGGTTAAAATAGTAGCACAGAGATTTATATCCTAGGTGGTGGTATTGTTGTGTACCGTCTAGTAACAACTTACCCCCCAGTGGGTTTTCAAAGGTAGTGAGTCACACAGGAAGAATTTGCCCATTTTTCTCTCACAGAGAAGCTAGTGGATTCAAACTGCTTGCCTTTGGGTTGGCAGTGCAACTCTTTACCATTAAGCCACCAGAGCTCCCTGTCTTGGGAATTATTGAGTTGAAATGAACCGGAACTGACCACCACCTTGGACCAGACATGATCTATTATGACAATGACAAATTGAAGAGGAATGATGTCATTTTTATTGTCAAAAAGAACAATATTTATCCTGAAGTACAATGCTGTTGGTGATAGGAAAATATCGGTATACATACAAGGAAGATCTGTTAATGCAACAATTATTGAACCATTATTCAACCTACTAACCACTAAAGTCAAAGATAAGAAAACTAGGGATTTCTACTAACTTCTGCAATCTGAATTAGAGCAAACCTATTATCAAATAGTTGTGGGTTTTTAACAATTGAACAATATTCCATAAAACTTTAAAAGGCTCACTCCACTTAGAGATTTAAATATTTAATTTATCATGGAGAGTGAGAGATTGAATCCATATTCATCTCATCCAAAAAATGAGAATTTTTATCATTTACCACCTAAACCTTGGGAACTTAAGTTTCCAAGTAAGAAGTAACAGTAAGAAGACAGCTTAGTGTAAAATGCAACCATATTTCCTAACTCTAATTTAGTCTAAAATAATAAGATGTTAAAAAAAAAAAAAACAAGCCAAGTTGGCAGGTTAGCTTATTGATAGGGGTAATTCCATTATGTTAGCAAGCCTTTCACATCTCTTCAGGAGGATAAGGCAATAGTATGACCTGTTCAAAACAATCACTCACACCTGATTATCATGAACTTTGGTGTTAAAGAGATAAATGTGTGCTGTAGGGAATACCATATGCTGTTGTTGTTATGTGCCATAGAGTCGGTTACAACCCATAGAGACCCTGTGAACAACAGACCTGAACCCAGTCCTATCCTGTCTCGTCCTCATCGTCTCTGACACACTTGAGCCCTTTGCTGCAGTCACTGTGTTAATCTCTCTCATTGACGGTCTTCCACTCTTTCACTGAACATCCACTCTTCCAAGCATGACGTCCCTTTCCAAGGAATAGCTCCTCCTAACACCATTCCCTGAGTATGTGAGATGACGTTTATGTAGAGTTACAGACATCAAAGTGGGAAACAGAACTTAAAAGTGAGAAGGACAAGGTCCTAGATCATAACTTTCCATTCAAGGAGAGTTGGTGGGTGCCAGAGACAAGAAGAGTTCACAACCAGTTCTCCAATATATCTTGGACAAGGTTAGGAAATGAAGATAAAATATCATCAAATGACTTTTACTTGGAGAAAATAATATTGCTTTTGAAAAGAATTCCTAAAGCCAATTTCATGTCTCTGTTCCTTAGACTGTAGATGAAAGGGTTCAACATGGGGGTCACTACTGTGTACATGAGTGAGGCGATAATATCTTTCTCATTGGAGTTGCTTGATGAGGGGGAAAAATACAGTGCTACAATTGTTCCGTAGAATAGACACACTACAGACAGGTGGGAACCACAGGTAGACAAAGCTTTGCAGATGCCTCTGGTAGAAGGAATCCTCAAGATAGAGGCCCCAATGCGACCATAAGATATCACAATGCCACTTAGTGGAAAGATGACAACCACAGCTCCTTCAGTGAATATGGCCAGCTCATTGAGAGAAGTGTCTGAGCAGGAAAGTTTAAGTAGGATAGAAAGACTACAGAAAAAGTGAGGAATTGTGTTGTTACCACAAAAGGACAGCCGGACCATGAGGAGGGTGTGTAAGAGGGCACCGCAACAGGAGAATACCCAGCACGTAGTCACTAGCTGGACACACAACTCCTTCTTCATTATAGTGATATAATGAAGTGGGTGACAAATGGCCACATATCTGTCATACGCCATCACTGCCAGAAGAAGGTTATCGACACAAACAAAGAGTAGATAAAAATACATCTGTGAAATACACTCTGGATAGGAGATAGACTGGTGTTGAGTCTGCATATTCTTCAGCATCTTTGGGACAGTGACAGACGAAAAGGACACATCAGTGAGGGCCAAGTGGCTGAGGAAGAAGTACATGGGGGTGTGGAGGCGAGAGTCCAGCCTGATGAGCAGGATGATGAGCAGGTTCCCCAGCACCGTGGTGAGGTACATGCCCAGGAACAGGGCAAAGAACACGCCCTGCTGCTCTGGCCGGATGGGGAGCCCCAGGAGGAGGAATTCAGACACGCTGCTCTGGTTCTCCCACCTCATGCTGCTCCTATGTATCTGGGAATGAAGTGATACCGGAAATGTCAAGAACTTGGAAATGGTGAGCACTTGGTTACATACTCTCTCCAAGGGATTATACCAGTCTTAAGACAAAACTCTCTTTCGCTCACATACCTCTGCTTCTTTCAGATAGATCATAGGAAGAAGATTCTTCTATGGGAACCATAGACCATTTATTTTTTTTTCCCAAACGTGAAAGGCACTATAATAGACACTAAGAAGAGGGGTGGATGTGACAGAGTTCCTTTCATCTAGAAGCCCACATTCTAGTGAACAACCTCACAGAGTATTGTTGATGTGTATATCTGATTCTTCCCTTTGTGATTTGCTAGTTATTGTCTGAAATTATTCCAAATGTCATCTGCCTTTTTCTTAAACTATGGCATGCACAAGTAAGTGTTCAAAGCTTTAACTCTTACTATTTTTGCATGATAATTGATCAAATTCACACAGCAGATTTAAAGATGAGAAAAGAGACCATCAATTGAAATCAAGCAGCTAACTGAAATCTTCATACCTGTCATTTTCTCTCTCTTGGCATCCATTCCCACTGTTTCAAACTGGCTGAGTTCCAAGAATGTAAAATGAGTAAGTGATCTGAGAATGTATCCAGTGATCTGCTCAGAGTATAGTAATCTTACAATGATGTAGGACAGGAAAATTATATAAAATCCAAAGTGCTCTGAATATATCCCAAATTGACTAATCTATGTTCTCAAAAGCAGAAATGTAGGAATTATTGAAGGTGAATGAAGACTTAGAGAACTTCAGGTGCCTTTAGGGATAAATTGCCAGTGATTTACTATAAAGATGACATTGCGTTAGCTGCCTGATTTTGTCTAAAGGTGAAACAAGAAAACAGTAAGAGTCTGAATTCGCCTGCCCAGATGCATACATTTATTACTATGTCAAGAAACTCTGGTAGCCTAGTGGTAAGAAGTTGTACTGCTAACTCAAAGGTAGGGGGTTTGGATCCACCAGCTGCTCTGCAACATAAAGATGGACACTCTCTTTCCATGTGATTTAGAAAATCACACTGGAGAACCAACTATGAGTTGGTTCCAACTTGGCATCACATAACAGTTACATTGCTATGTTTCATATTTAGCTCCCTCTCTTCTATAACTATTCAAGGGGGAAAGAGTCTACATGTGAGTGTAATAGATATAAAATATATAGTCACATAACATCACAGAAACAACCCCAAGGTTCTGGTTTTCAATCCTCTCTGACTAACAGTAATTCTACTTGATCCACAATCAATGTCTAGAGCAGCATCAGTCAAGAAACCAAACAATTCATTTTCTATGGTACAAATCTGCTTCAAAGACCTCATGAGAGTACAAAAAGCAAAGATTCAATTTAGACAATGAATTTGTGTTTGAAGAAATCCCTGTTATTTTCAATCTCCTCATATGCACATGGATGGTGAACAGTTAAGAAAGAGGATTGCATGATTAATGAAAATAAAACCCACCTCATAGCATGGCAAAAAAAAAAAAGAAAGAAAGAAAGAGGATTGCAATAGAACTGAAGCCTTTTCATTATGGTGTAGGTAAAGAACATTGACTATAGCATAGACTTCCTAAAGAACAAATTTATATTGGAAGAAGTGCAACCAGACATCTCCCTAGAAGATAGAATAGCAAGGCTTCATCTTAAATACTTTGGGTTTCTTACCAGGAGGGACCAGTTCCAGCTGAAGGACATGAGATCAGGCAAAGTAGATGGAGGCAAAGTAGATAGGAGGAAGACCCTCAAAGGGAAAGTTGACCCAATGATTGCAACAATGGGCTCAAGGATAGCAGTGAGCATGAGGTGAAGCAGGACTAGGCAGTGTTCTGATGGAACAGACTTAACTGCATCTAACAATAACAGCATCTAATAGAAAAGTGTAAACGCTTGCAAAGATTTCATCCAAATTCACACACAACTGTTGAACCAAAAACTCTGTCAAACACAACTCAAAAAAGCACAAATGTAACACACTTACCTAGGAAACTCACAAATCATCTATACATACACACACTTCACTACACATACTAAGTTTAGTCAGATACAGAAAAAAAATTCTATTTTAATGGTGGCAAACAAGTATAACATATAATGGAACATTTGTAATTCCAGCATTTTACACATACAATTCTGTAGTTAATTAAGTCCAATATGTTGTGCCACCATTAATAGTATACATCCCCAAATAATTCTGTCATCGTAAGAGAGCTTCAGAGCCTCCTAAGCAGTAACTTCCCTTTTTCCTCTCCTCTTCCACCCTTTGGAAGCATTAATAAACATTGGTCTCTATACATTTGCTTCTTCTAGAAATTTCTTATAAATGTAAGCAAGCAGTATTTGTCCTTTAGTGATTAACTTATTTTACTCAGCATAATGTTTTCAAGGTTCATCTATGCTGTAGCCAAAAGGTTGAAATAATGTTCATGAGCATATGAATAGATAAGCCAGATGTGGTACATGCATACAATGAAATAGTCAAAATTCAAACTCATTGCCATCAAGTTGGGATCAATTCTTAGCTGAACCTCAATGGATTTTTGAAGGTTGTAAATCCTGGAATGACTCAGCCTTGAAGATAAATTAACTTATACACGCCACATGTAATATTTTAATGTGCATACACACACTCCAATACAACTACACAAAAAAATATATGTATCTGGCAGCAGCTATTAGTTGAACCAAGCTGTTGGTCAAAATTGACCCTCCAGCAGGATTTCAGAAGAAATGAATCACATGGGAGGAGGCTATCCATCCTTCTGCAATGGTGCAGTTGGTGAATTCGAGCTGAATGCCTTTGGGATTGCAGCATAACTTCTTACCAGAGTTCCCTACTATAGACCAAGACAGGTACTTACAAATACATCTAGGGATTGAGTACGAAGAAGCAGTCCAGTGTGATACTCTCTCTTCTGAAATCTGCTATTGTCAGTACTGTGGGTTCTCTGAACTGCCCAGGAACTGCATCCTATCTTGTCAGATTTAGAATGCAGACTAGGATGCAAGGCCAAGCAAGGAAATGATACCTCTCAGATTTGCTTGCATCTTGGTGGTTGCAAACATCCAAAATCTAAGGGTAAAACCTATGGCAAGCCTGTTTATCTGATGTTAACCAGCTTACATTTTCTCAAAATCTATTGCCAAGGAGTAAACTGGACACCACTGTCAGTCCTTGAGCATCTTGAATTCTAACTGAGCTGACGTGGGTTTCTTATCCAAATTCCCTAAAGTTATTCATGTGATCCAATCCATAAAGCTATCAGAAGAAATTCTGACATCCGGTGGATCACTAAGCCACTCCACAAGAAAAGGGAGATGACCAGTCTGACATCTGCAGGCGGAAAAAGCCCTCATCACAAATTCCACCACACCCTCGGCGGTTTTCATCACGGCATTTGGAGAAGGTGGACCATTCTCCAGCTCCTCCATTACTGCTAATATTACTACTCATTGTTATCGAGTCAGCTCCAAATCACAGTGACCTTCCATCAAGTTTCTGAGGCTATAAATCTTCACAGGAGGAGACTTTCCATGCTTCTTCTGACTAATTGGTGGACTCAAACCACTGATCTTTTGGTTAGCAGCCTCCCACAGTGCAGAACACCACTACAGTACATCACCAAGGGCTCCCAGTATATATATTAATATATGCAGTATTTGTAAATTCACACAAATAAACAAATTCTGACAGTCTTATCTACTGAAAAATAAGAAAACATGAATAGGCATGAAAAAGAGATTTCTAGCTCTCTCTGGTCTATATGGAGTTCTAGTGGTATAGTCTATAGGGAGTTGTAACCCAAAGGCCATATATTTCTAGTGGTTTGGATCCAGGAGAAATATAAGCAATATCCTCCCAGGTGAGGACAGCTTTGAAAATGCACTGGAGGGTCAGTTATGAGATTGTCTATACAAGGAGACTTGGTATCACAGTACTTAAGAGGTCGGTGGGTAACCAAAAGATCTACAGGTCAAACTCACCTGCCACTCTGAGAGAAAGAAGTGATAGTCTGTATCTGTAAACACTTGTGACATCGTAAATCCTATGAGTAGTTCTGCTCTATCCTAATGAGTATTTTTTACTAGGATAGAAGCAACAGCAATTGGTATTTGTACAGTCTAATACCGACTATCCCATGGGCTGTCAAGAGAACAAACAGGTCTGTCATGAAGAAAGTGAAATCCAGGTGCTCCTTGGTGAAACTCCATCTCACATTGGGTGTGTTGCTAAGAGGGGACAGTCCTTAGAGAAGGACATTATGCTTTGAAAGACACAGAGTCAGAAAATTAGAGGAAGACCTCAACTGGATGGATTAACACAGTAACTGTAACAATGGTTGCTCAAGTGTGTCACAGATGGCACAGGACAGGACAGGGTTGACATGTATTGTTCATATGGTTTCTATGAGTCGTGGTCAGATCATGACACTATATATGCAGTGCTCCATAAAACTTTGTACAATAATAGAAATGTTGTATATCTGACCTTTTCAATACAGCAGCCATTAGTTCCCCCATGAACACTGAGCAACTGAAATGTAATTAGTACAACTGAAGAATGACATTTCCCCTTTTAATTTATATAACCAAATATAACTTATTGCTATTATATTGGAAAGAAAGAAAGAAGAATACAGTGTGTATTACATATTATATATTTTATATATTATATATTATTTTATATTATTATATATTACATACATATTTGTCATTATAAATATGTAGTTATACAAACAACACAAATACACAGACACAGATGTCTAGATGAATACATGTAAATCAAATGGTAGTTTCCCACCTTGCTGTGACCTGTACTGGTCTAGACTACTATCTAGTTCCTCTTCTTTGTTCTTATGCCTTTGTAAAAATCCTTAGAATCTTAGCAACATCTATATTTACGAACACCAGAAGAATGGACCTAAAGATCCCCATTTACCATTAGGACTAACACCCAAGGGGGAAACTGG